TCTGTATGCTGGGGATTGTTCGACAAGACTTCGGACTACCACAGATACTCTTGACAGGCGCGAAAGAGAACGGAAGTCGAGTGCGTCCAATATCATGAGAAGCAGCTCATCTGAGAGACAATCCAAGCTGCCCATCGAAGCTGGAGAATTCCTAGGGCCCACAGGAATATGTGTATGCTCTGCAGGTGGTAGATAGCGTATGACGTCCTGGGTCCCCGAGCCTGCCAAGCGCGCTGTGAGTTTGCTGAGCTGTGCATCCGATAACATGGTGACAGAATGTTCGAAAGAAGTCTGAGGGCGACTCAAGAGACTGGTTTGGCGATATTTCAGGAGGAAGGAAAGGTCATCAATGAAGTATGTCACTGAACACAAATTGGCTCTACGGTGCAAACAGGGCTGACCGCGTCGCGTAGAGAAGTCGCAGGGATGCGTGTTCAGGAATAGCCGTGCACTACTACACTACCTGCAGGGCCCCTGGAACTGCTCATGTCATCAGCCACCCTACCTGATCCCACGACCAATATTGCGCCTCCGACCGTTATCTCATGATACATGGGCTCTCAGTTACCCTTCAATTGCTTCCGTCCTTTCTAGAATATTTCATCTTTGCACCATGGTGCGCGCTCACAAGCACTTCGCGGCCGTTATCTGTCAACATCAAGCAGCTCGCAATAGCTCGCGCGCAAGACCTAACGTGACCAATCATCTTACATGGAAAAATGGGCACCATATACTAAGTACATGCCCAGTTCAGGGGCTCTTTTGCATGCAGAATCACCGTATGGATTACGGTATACTTTTACAGTATTTCGAAATTCTTCTCATTGGATTATTGAACGGCTCAGACTTTAGGCTACGAAATTGCGCATCCGACCGCTGCAAACAAGCCCTGTCTGCTCGCACACTGCGTATATACTACTGGGCGTCAATCAGATCCATCCCGGTTAGTCCGTGTGGCGTGTTCAAGACTAGGTACTGAGGTCTAGGTACCTACGCTAGAAACCACACGCTAACATACTATGTGCCTAGCTACACCGGGTCTTGATCGAATTGAATGGGTGAATATTTGACAGGTTCGTAGACCTGAATTGTGAGTTAACAGAATTGATTTCGGGAGCTTTGCTTCCTCATCGTACTAGGTCTCATTGCTCAACGGTACGATGACGTCGGCTTTCGGTAATATTACCATCAGGCCGATTGAAGTGATCGGCTTAACATCTTTATATTCAGCATAAACTATGTGTCCTACCACCCTTTCTCAGGCTTGAAAGCCCAGCTTTCATCAGCTTAGCAAATTCAGCGATAGATAACTCACCATGTCTGTTGCCTTACCCAGACTTTGCTCACGGACCCGGGTGCTATCACCTGCAGTGGGATCAGGCCTTTCCAGCATAGACATGCGATGGCATCAAACTACCACTTCTCCCTCTGCACCCAGCCAACCTCCGCGTCGAGGAACCAGACCGTTCCACGTCTCTCCAAGATTCCATGAGATATACAAGCCTAAAAGCCCAGATCCAACAGAGGGTACGCCCAATCGCCTCGCCGAGAGCGACCACCCACGTCCAAGTGAGAATGTTGGCAGGAAACGGTTCGCAGACTTTGACCTCGCTGGTCGTGTGTTCATAGTCACGGGTGGCGCTCAGGGACTGGGCCTAGCTATGGCTGAAGCTCTCGTCGAGGCTGGCGGCAAAGGTAACTTCTCTGACTTCCAGGCTAGGGATTAGCTACTGATAGCTCTACAGTCTACTGCTTGGACAGGGCATCGGAGCCAAGTAAAGACTGGAATGAAGCCCAGTCTCGCGTGGTTCCCGACTGGGGGGGAAGCCTGCAATACAAACAGCAGGACGTCTCTGATACCGCCCATCTTGACCAACTGATCACTTCCATTGCCGACGAGAACCAAAGGCTGGACGGTATCGTGGCCGCCGCCGGCATTCAGAAGATTACGCCTGCGGCAGAGTATCAAGTGCACGACGCGGCGCACATGTTGAGCGTGAACTATACCGGCGTGCTGATGACAGCGACCGCCGCGTATCGACAGATGGCTAAGTACAAGTGCCGCGGGAGTATCTGCCTGATTGCGAGTATGAGCGGGCTCGTTGCAAACAAGGGTTTGTTGAGCCCTGTCTACAATTCCTCCAAGGCTGCGGTGATACAACTCGCACGGAACCTGGCGATGGAGTGGAGCCCCATCCGGAAGGACGGCACTGGCGGAGTGAGGGTGAATTGCATCAGTCCGGGTCATATCCTGACGCCCATGGTGCGAAAGAACTTGGAGGAGGTGCCAGGGTTGAGAGACGAATGGGAGAGAGAGAATATGAGTAGGTGATTAGTCCCATGCACACAAGTGACAAGTACAGAATGTCTGACGAGATACTTTCGAGTCAGTGGGTCGACTGGCGGAGACGAGCGAGTTCAAGGGTGCTGTGCTCTTTCTGCTGAGCAGCGCCAGCTCTTTCACGACAGGGACTAACATGGTTATCGATGGAGGCCACACGTCGTGGTGAGAGCTTCATACCGGACTGGCGTCTAGCACGAGGCTCAGAGGGGTTCACATCATGGGAGTAGCTTGGCGTCCTGGGCTGGGGATGCTTGTCCACTTTGGCAGCCAGGATACTTACTGTACTTTGAAGAACAGTAGCATGCCTTCGCTGCCAGCCAAGATTGGCACTTCGCTTCCACAACTCTCTTTGGCGCACCAGATCATATTGTGGATGATGGATTAGACCTGTTTGAGTAGAATTTTGAACACCATTTGTCCGAACAAAGCTTCGATGTTCATTGATTCACACAGACCAGGCTTGATGTTATGTTGAATAGGGCCGTACAAAACAAGAACTCCAATGATAGAAGAAGCTGCGCTCGTTATCGAGAATCTTCGTATTTGTCGTCAAGGAGAGGGTGCTTACAACGAAAGCAGCTAGTGTGGCAGGTCGATCAATCAGCTGGGAAAATAGCTAGGGAAACCGAAGTCGCGCACACTGAAAATACCACATAAAGCCGCGTGAATCCACTGGTTGAGAAGAAACTCGGATTCAGATACGGTATCTCAGCCCTGGAAAGACGTCCAATAAGGTTGAGCTGGGACGACTTCTTCGCTCCAGCTGTAGATGTGTGCCAGGCCCGCCACTGTTCGTTCACTGGAGTTCCGGACGTATTCAAACCAGAACGCTTCCTAAACGAAGACCTCGACAATGCTCTGAAAGGTCATCACGGCTTCGGACCAGGTAAGACCACCTTCTACCAACCTAGAAACGCCACGCTCATATGTTTGCAGGCCGCAAAGTCTGCCCTGGAAACAATGTAGTCGACATCAATCTCTGAATCATCCTATCTCGCTTGGTCTACTGCTTTGATAACAAGACCCTGTAAATCAACGTGAGTCGTTCTAAGCAGAGGGAAGATATAGCCACTGATATAAGTAAAGAACAAACCCATTGATATCGTTAATGACACGGAACTTCTGAGGATTCAAGAGGCAGTAGGCGCTGATTTCGGTCTCATATTGAAGCCCCGCAATCCTTCGCATGCGGCCTTGCTTGAGTTGGCAGCAGAGGAAGCCGCATCGGAGTGTATGTCAGCATATTACGATACTAGTCGCTGACTTAGTCTCCATTGATCGACTTTTACAAAACCCAAGGCCAAGGCGAAAGAGGCAAGAGTCCCTATAGTGCAAATCAAGGTTGTGGCGGCACCCCCACCCCCTTCCCAACATATCTATAGATAGTACCAGGGAGTTGGGTGGGTCGGGCAATGCAGAGTCATTCGGAATTGCTTCAGCTTCTGATGAACCGGGCCGATTGTCAGAGAGGGTAGAAATGTGATTATGGAGAAAGCTGCTCGCTGACATACATTAGGTACCCTTAATCCCTTTGTCGCTTGGTGCAGAGGAGGTTCCATTCCTGGTGTCTATTGCTGGCAAGCCTCAACCCATCCACCAACAATAGCCCGCTCCTGCAATACACACTCTCATCTCTAGACGTATCGCTTTGGTCAACTACAATAGCCTCTAGGTGGCAGCGCGAAACCCCAAGCAATCTTGAGCGTGATGATGAACCAACCTTTCACAGCCCAACTTTGTCTCTCAGATGTGTACTCATCCTCGCTCCTGCAAAAGCAATTAGTGAGCTGTTACTTCCATTATTATCTCTCAAGCAAGCGCTACAAATTTTATGATGTGTTTCTTGTGTACCTAGGTATTAGAACGTCCTTGTTGAGACTCGTGGATGAACGTTTCGTCCCTTCCCAGATGTCTTTGCATTTATCGCACTCCAGGCCTCAGAAGTCGTTGCCAGCGGTTGGGCATCATGTGTGATTTTTTCCACTTCTAATTGTCGAAACAGTATTGGGCATACTGATTTTGACCATACCCAGTCTGTCTTTACCTTGATGGACTGCCCAAAGGCTCGAGAGAGGTAGAAACTAGGGTCTGCGGTAGGCATTTGGGCGTGGCCGCCCTTTGCAGAATGTATACCTACTAGAGCAGACCGACAGCGGTAGAAGAGCAGATACTTAAAAACAGGTAGATGAGGCTGAAGATTGTTTTAATCCATTTAATACTTTATAGAGACGAAAAAGGCCACGGATCATATAAAGGAGTGGTATCTGGACCAGCTGCCGCAGCTGCCGGCTGTTTGAGAGACGGGTTACAGTGTTCAAGGGCATACTCGTCAGACGAGACGCCCGGGTCCTAGGAAGCCTATCTTTCTAAGGCATTGAGTGTGGGTGATGACCGGGCCAGTGCTTTTTCGGACGCATAGCCTTTCGGTGTCTGTCCGGTGTGAAATGGAGTGAGTACGAAGGGGTTGGGCATTGATAGTTAGAACTAGTGCTGCGAAACTTTATCAATTCCATTTACGAGGAAATGATCCCATATAGACTATTGAGAAGGTACTTTTTTATAAGCCCAAGAATGCCAATTGGGAAAGTCCGAGAACAGGACAAAATGTTCAATGTTATATAGTATTGCCGAAGCCTCGCAATTCATCAAAAAAGGAGCGTAAATGGTTTAGTGGTAAAATCCATCGTTGCCATTGTTTAACAATATTCGATGGGCCCCCGGTTCGATTCCGGGTTTACGCACTCTTGAACTCTTTTTATTCTTTATTCAAGAGTATTGATTCACTTTTGCTTCGGTGTGGCATGGCTGAGACGTTGATTTGTGAAGGTCGAGATCAACGCTGGCTGTTGCATGGAGTGACTAAGGCCGGTTATTGCATGTTGGAATGACTAAACGTTGGGCGTGGCCCCGTCGCACCTTCCCAACTACGACAATGTGGATGGCAGAGATTATCGGGCCCGATAGAGATTGGAAGGGGAGGCGGTGAGGGATGCAGGAGAGGATTGCATTGTGTCCAATTTGAGATAGCGAGGGTGCATGGGGAGCAGCAAAGGAGCTTTTTTTATATTCTGAATTGTTTACTTCTAAAAATAAGAAGTAACTTCGCCTGGTTCACGTTTGGATGATTATCATGTAGCAAGGACCTTGAAGTCACCAAGTGACTAACGGACTTCCTCGATCAAGCAGTGTCATATCCCCAGACAATGAATGTTCTTCACAATAGACTTGAATTAAGAACCCAGATACTATGGTATAAACACATGATTGGATGTCAGTTCGAAAGTGACCATGATCATTGTCTGTCTTGTGACAGAGTCAAGTGGCAATGAATGCTTGACCTCGGGATCAGCTGAAGGCTACCTAGGTATTGTTGTTGTTGGTTGGCATCGGCCACTCAGACCGTCGCCGCTTGCTATACCCCTGCTGACTTTTAGCGGCCCGCTGCCAGGACATGCCAACTTGCAATTGCACAACAAGCAAGCATGGTCTGGCCACAACCGAACCTGGCGGACCTGAACCTCGTGCTTCTCAACTTCTTGACTGTTGGTTCTTTTCCCCACGGTCCGAACCCTACAGTACCGTATGCAGCACGGCAACTAGCATGGCCCTATCGTTTCCTTGAACCTCATTTCTGCTACAATAATAAAAGCTCAAGCTGCTCCTCCCACCCAGCATCACGTCATGAACGGCCATTTCGCGGGCGTGGGCGACGCGCCCACTGCCCAACAATATGAACACGGCGTTCAAGTCATCGACGAGGAGAAGCAGTACAAGTACGCCACGCCTTTTTCGTTGTCCCTACTCAGGTCTCCCCAGACAGCATCAACAAGCTGACCGCCAATATAGCTCCGTCCTGAACGATTACCTTGTCAAAACACATGTCGCCGAGGCGGGCTTCAACTACCACCTCATCTCCGTCTTTGGTTCCCAGTCCACCGGCAAGTCCACCTTGTTGAACAATCTCTTCGGCACCGAGTTCAGTGTAATGAGCGAGACCGAACGACGCCAAACTACAAAAGGAATATGGATGTCCAAGAACAAGAAAGAGTCCGCCTCCGGTGGCAGTGTCAAGCTGGCCGACAATATCCTGGTTATGGACGTCGAGGGTACCGATGGTCGCGAGCGCGGCGAGGACCAGGACTTTGAGCGCAAGAGCGCCCTGTTCGCCTTGGCCACAAGTGAGGTTCTCATTGTCAACATTTGGGAGCACCAGGTTGGCCTATACCAGGGCGCCAATATGGGACTTCTGAAAACCGTTTTTGAGGTCAACTTGCAGCTCTTCCTAAAGGATAAACAGTGAGTATTCCCCAACACACTTCTTTGGCAACAAACACTGATAGGAAGTTATAGATCTACACCGAGGTCACTCCTCTTCTTTGTCATTCGCGACCACATCGGGAATACACCCTTGGAGAATCTACGCAACACACTAGTCCAGGATTTGACAAAGATCTGGTCCTCGTTATCGAAGCCACAAGGACTCGAGAATTCGAAAATCGAGGATTACTTTGACTTCGCCTTCGCCGCTCTTCCGCACAAAATCCTACAACCCGAGAAGTTTGTCTCCGAAGTGGATGCTCTTGCCAACAGGTTCACGGCCGGCCATCGTTCGACCGAGGATCAAGAGTTCAAGGGTGGCGTTTTCCTCTCCGAGTACCATCGCAGGATTCCTGCTGACGGCTTCTCCGTTTATGCCGAGGGCATCTGGGACCAAATTGTGAACAACAAGGACCTTGATCTGCCAACTCAGCAAGAGCTGCTCGCGCAATTCCGTTGCGACGAGATTACCCGTGAAGTCTTGGTTGCCTTTGATGGCGCAATTGTGCCCTTGGAGGAGCAGCAGCAAGACGCCGCCCGCGCAGGCATCCCTACTGTTCTCGCGGACCTAGGTGCCACCGGCAAGGCCGTCCGCTCGAAGACGACTAAGGCGTTTGAGGTGCAGGCGAGTCGATACCATAAAGCGGTATACAAGAGGAAGCATGTCGAGCTGGAGGAGAAGATCGATGCCCGTCTTAGGCCTCTGTACCAGGGCCAGATCATGGCAGCTCACAAGAAGGGTGTCTCTGCTTTCACCGACGCTGTGACGAACGCTGTCAAGGCTGGCCAGAAATCTGGCGGCCAGTATGAATTTGCCGAAATTGTCGAAAAGCAGAAGAGCAAACATTCCGACATCTTCAAGAAGGAGGCGCAGAGTCTTGCCATTGAGGGTGTGCCATGGACCAATTTCAAGCCTCAATACTTGCTATTCGGAAAAGAGCTGGATGAGGTTGGTGCGCGACTGAGAAAGGATGAGATGCGCCGGCTCGCCACACGTGTCGAACGCTGGGTCCGGTCCCGCCTAGGGGATGCGGTCGGGTTGGAGTTCAACAGGATTGGTTCTGGCCGCGGCGGTTCCGGTGCTCCAGAGGACGACGAGAAACCGTCTAGCGAAAAAGACTTGTGGGATCGCATTTGGACCGTATTCGTGTCTGTCGTGACTGAAGCGCAAGGCAGATTCAAGGACCGAGCCAAGAACTTGGAGGCTACAGATGACGAGGTCGAGGTTGGTCTTTGGAGACTGCGACGCAAGAGCTGGGTGGCGCTGCACGAAAAAGTTGAGGAAGAAGTGATGGAGGGCAACATTCTCCTCAAACTGCGCGAGAACTTCGAAGACAAATTCAGGTACGACGAGGCTGGAGTTCCGAGGATATGGCGCCCCAGCGACGATATCGAGGGAATCTACACTCGCGCTCGCGAGTCAACGTTGCAGCTCATCCCGCTGTTGTCAAGATTCAGGCTGTCAGAGACTTATGGCCCCCCTGACCTGCCTGCCTTCATCGGCAATCAGCCTCACGGAGTCGAGCCGAGCGATGAGGAGGACCTCACACCCATTGGTGGCGTTGATGAGGAAGAGGGCAAGAGCCTCGAGGAGGAAATGACGGTGCTCAGTGAGAGTAAGAGACAAGATCTGGTAATTCGCTTCAAGAAGACAGCGGATGGCGTCTATGTGGAGGCGAAGCGAAGTGCTCTTGGAGGTATCACACAGATACCACTCTACTTCTACGTTATATGTTTGATTCTGGGGTGGAACGAAATATGGATGGGTAAGTGCTTCCAAATCTGTCAAATATTGCTGATGCTAATACGTCTTTAGTTCTCCGCAACCCTGTCTTATTCATAATGCTTTGCATGTTCGCAGGCGGCTCCTACGTTGCTTACAACCTCAACCTCCTGGGACCAATGATGCAGATGGCCAACGCCGCCAGCAACCAGGCCGTCGACATTGGAAAGCAGAAACTTCGGGAATTTTTGGAAAACAACGAGACGGCGCGCACGGCGGTTGGAATGCCGGCACGAAAGGACACTGATGCTATTAGCCTCGATACCCTCGACAGCAAAGGCAAGCGCCGTGAGGAGGATGACGAAGACGATATTTGATTGTGTGTGATGGAAATATCTGTAGATACTCTCGGTGCCATCCTCACCTACTTTGTTAGCCGGACGCCGACACAGGATATCCCACTGTTCCGTAAATATTCCGTTAGACAGACAAACAACGGCGGCCGGGCTCCTCAACTCCTACAATGATACAAAAACAGTCCCAATCCCCGAAACACCAAGATTGCAATGAATGCTCACACTGTCCAGATCAGAATGCCTCTAATCCCACGGGTGTCCCAAACCATGTTCCCAGCTCATCAGCATCTTTATCGCGATCGTTATTCCCTACGAAAAAGTCCGTCACCCGACTAGTCTCTGTGTCTTCCTCGACTGGCCATTCCACCCGGACACCCTTGTTGGCCGTGGACTCTATCATATCCTTTGCGGTACCCCAGCTAAATCTGCACTCGGGTCCCCATCCGAAGACAGGGTGCATGTTGCCCCTCATCCAGTTCACACACCGCGCATCACTCGGATAGCCGGAACCCCAAGCCATGCCCTCCCCGTCCTCGTCGTCCTCTTTCCTTGCTTCGTAAAGCACCTTCAAGCAGGCATCCCGTGTGACCTTGGCACACACACTTGCGGCGCTCACACACGGGTACAAGCTATCCGCCTTCTTGGCGACCGTGATGCTCACTGCAGGGAAGACTCGCTCGAGCTTCTTCTGGTACGCAGCCGGCTGCCCAATGGTGTCGACAAAGATCTCCTTGACATTGACGCCGCGCGCGAACACGCCCTTGATCAGCTCAATCGTCGCATCCATCGCCTGCGCATTGAGGTTGTACGTAGCCGGCTTGAACATGGCGGCCGAGATTGACCGCGCAGACAGCGCCGTTGTCGCCCATCCCGTCTGCGTATAGAGCTCCTCATCTTCCGATGGCGTACACAGCGTTTGCATCAGGTTGGAGCGCACCGCGGGCGTGAGCACCTTGGAATCGTCAAAGTGGTGCTTCTCTCGCAGCAGCGGGTCGGAGAGCGCGAGCGGCAGGTAGAAGATGCCGTAGACCATGGGGCCGAGCACAGGCCCGCGGCCGGCCTCATCGACGCCGAGACAGCAAGGTGGGCCATCTGCTGCTTCGGAGGTGGAGGAGGGGAGCAAGGTCGGAGGCACGGGCGAGAAGTGTGTATAGCTGTCGCCGGCGAGCAGGGCGTCACGGTGGATGGAGGGCGGGATGAAGACGGAGGGCACGGGGGTTTCGAGGGCGACGTCGGCGTCGAGCATTTGTGTGTCGTCCATGTTGGTGGTGGTGGTGATGTTGAGAGGCGTTCCAATAGCCTTTTTTACTGTTTGATTTATTGCGAGCCGGCGGCGCATTCATGT